ATGAGGTCAATGCGTCCCGGATTTAGATGTTTTATATTACTCTACTGGATCCGGACCACCCTCTATTTAAGGTTTACGAACTTTGAATTGAATATAAAAATGACTGTAATTTAACGTAATCTTTATGCACAAAATGTAATTCGTTTCTTCTCATTCTAAGAAAATAGCAGGTCCATTTACGAATCAATGCAATGGCAATGGAATGTAATTTTTGTTACACGTAAGATACTATCAGCGTTCGTTTGAGACGCAAATGAAGTGGAAATTTGAGGGGCTTTAAGAGAAAAAATATAAAAAACGCGGACTCATCATTACCGCATATCAAAGAGAATCCAATACATTCAACTTTTACAGTTCCTTTTGATGTTAAAGGCGATTATAATGGATCGAATTCGTACGAAACACGATAATAATAAATAATTTTTTGTCCTTAATGAACATCTATATATTATTTTGTTGGCGTGCATGGAGCAACCACCACATCCATTATATTGGGAATAATGTACGCATAGGGCAAATTTATCATGGAGTTAATTGATAAATTACTCATTTTTCCTCAGTGTAAAGTTTCTTATGCCGTTAATTAAATGGCAACGAGGGACAATTACGCTAAACTTTTCTCGTTCATTTTATTTTAATAAAAGTTGAATTATACGTATAAAGGGTTAAAAATTATGATTGACGTTGCATTTAGGGATATTACGCTGAAACGTTTGTATTTGGTGAAGGCCCAGTAAAATTCGAATCTGCGAACCCCTATGGCATTGGCCACACGGAATTAGAATTAGAAATCCCGAAACGTTTTTCGAATGCGCGTTTTCCAAAAATGTATCTCAAGTAAGATATGCTGGCATTAAAACTTGAAGGTTGCGTCATATTTCTTTGACCAATCTATCTTTGTGTAATTTGATATTTTTTCAGGTGAAATTTCAACAACAAAGAAAAAATAAAGTGTAGAGGGCATCATTCTCCATGCAATTATAAAATCTGATGAGTTTGAACGTACATTTTCAATTTTCTTTGTCTGTAAATTAATTGCGGTAAATAGGTGGAGAATTTTGAAACCGAATACTGTCGGCAAACTAAACGTTAGCTGATTGTAGGGAAAATTACGAAGCTGCCTAAGAGCCAACACCATGCGTTTTTAAAATGTTTACATAATGCACTTACATCACCATTTAATTGACAATCGTAAATCGTCATTAGTAACAATTCCCCCTTTCTGGTCGATCTGGGGCACCTTTTCCCTTGCTAGATTTTATAGGCATTATACTCCCGTCCAGTCCGACCCAATTGTAACGTAATAGTTACCTACTTACATAAAAGTCAGGAAAATGATACATTACTGACGAAGAAATATTCAAGTACGAGGCCCCTTTGTACTCCCTTACGGGTTAAGGGTTATATGTATAAAAAAAATTAAATGTAAGCTGTTTAAAATTTTATTTCCCATACGAAGGCTGCATTCAATTTTTTATTTCAAAAAACAAATGAGTAACGAAAAACAATTGAATTTTTTTAAATGGCAGTGCACCTTTTCATTAGGTTCATGTGATAGACATTTTTTTCTATTTTCGATAATATAACATGTTAGTACCCTTATTCAAGAAAAATTTTCAAAAAAATTTATTATAATTAGATCAGTAACATTAATCCAGATATCCTACATCAAAATAAACCCCTAAAGAGCATCTAAAAAGCGGCACGGTCGAGTGACCTTTGGAATTTTTGTTTACATGGGAAATCGTACTTAACTTAAACTTCCAAAGGCGACTCGACAGCAACTCATTTTTGATCGCCCGTTATATTATGTTAACTGTGAAAACTTTGAACCGAATTGGTTCAAGCGTTTGCTAGAGATAGAAAGACGTGACCGTACGGGATCATTGGATTGGATAGTAAAATCCTTGAGGAAACCGAAAGAAGATCTGTTTGTTTTCTGCCGCAATGACAAATGCGCAAATGCTTAGCGTTACTCTTCTAATTGAAGACTTTCCGCTTCGGGTGGACCCATTTTGATGGCTTTACATTTTTTGAATTTTGCAAACCAAAATTCAATATAAATTCACTCTTGCTGTTAGATACTATTCTAGTGGATGGTTCTATCTTTGATTCTTGTGGGCAGATTTTTTGGATTCTACATGCAAAAATTTATAATAAATCGTGTTCTGTTACTTTCAAAATGATTTTAAAATGTTAACGTGGTGGCCTGTTCATACGCTTTGAAAATGATCGTGTGTGTGCGGTTCTCTGCGAACTGAAACGGCACATACTGGACCGGTTTACCCTCGAGGTTTACATGTTTCTCCTATTCCAGCGTGTATATAATTCATGCACCGTATCCATTTACTCCATGCTTTATAGTCAGACAAATCAATACCTACCCCATTATTCGATGTTTCCACTTTGGAATAACGCTGATCTGAATTTGACTTGCTCAATTAACATCGTCCCTACAGTTAAAAACTAGGTCTCATTATAGCAGTCACTTGCACTTCGCGAACTTGTAAAGGAAAAAGGTTTTTTTAAGTCAATTAAAGTAAAATAAAGATTTTCGATCGAGTTTGGTCCAAATCCTTTAAATATCGCGCGCAATCAAATTCGCCTTCCCGAGCTCGCTGCTTTGTTAAGGTAAATACTTACAAAACTGATTATCTTGTGAACCGCACATAATTCGATAGGGTTAAACATTGTTAATCCGCAGACATAATTGCGTCCCGACGAAAATTATCTATCGCGTTGTGCGTTTTCGCCGTTTTCTCCCAAAGCTCTGCGTGCCACAGTTAATATTGATAATGAAATAACGATTAAGATTTTATCGGGATGAGACCGTTAAACGATGGTTAACGGGTTAAGAATGATAACAGTATCGCAGTGCATTTGAAAAATTCCATTCGATGGAGATCTTAAGATGATGATGGTATAGCTACCCCTTACGCTAACTATATGCATAGACCGTAAATATCTCGCTTGTCTAGAGATTTACCCCAAATACTATTACGAAGTAGTTAACTAACTCTAACCCTCTCTAAGAACGTTCGAGAATACATGCTGGATGCTTTGACCAAAGAGACGCTTAACAACGTAAATTTACTTGTGTCTCCGAACCAACACTTCTTGTATCGGGCTAATATTAATTTCTGGTTGAAATGATACACCTGAGGAAGAACAATAGATTATTGTACTATACGAATCTGCCTTGTTAACAAAATCATTGGAGAATTGATAGAGCTTTGAGAGTTCGTAATTTGTGCGAATTTCGTCCTTAACTTCCCAAGCAACACAGTTCCATATACAGGGTGAGTTTTTTTTCATTTTAAGCATTGGGATCTCGGAAAGCATAAGACATACGGATTCGGTTAAATGAGGAAAGAGTTGCCGTTTTTAAGAGCTTATTTAAGATATGCTTTTGTTTTTTTAAAAAACACTACAGTTTACTAGATATGATCGAAAAACATATTTAGTGATTTTTCTTTTAAATGTTGTAGAATCGTTATTATTAGAAATACAACAAAATGATAACAGTTTTAGACATTTTAATGCTTAACATGATGAACATACTAATTTATTTTTAGATCTTACAATTTTTGAGTTATAATACGAACTTTAATTTTTTTTAATTGTAGTCATAGTTGGCTTTGACATTTTTAAAAAGGACAAATTTTTCTCTTTATAACGATATAAGGCTTGCTCAATGTACTTTAATAAATAAACGCCCTGCAGTAATTTTCGTATTATTGAGAGGTAAGTAAACAGAGTTGGCCATGGAACACAATATCTAGTGAGATAGGTACCTTTCATTTACGACGACAATTGGACAGGCCAATGTTATCTTCATTTTCTACCAAATGAATTTCAAGATATGTAGAATGGATTAGATTTGGAAACACGACGTAATTTACGCTGGTTTCAACACAACGGTGCCCCGCCGCACAACTAACTGCAAGTTAAATATTATAATAGACAATAATTAAGAGAACAAAAATGTTTCCCATGGCAAAATCTGTTTTTACTACTCTTAATAATACAAACAGTACTGTATCATGTTTATTTGTCAAAGTAAGTACAATGAACCTTATATCATTGTAAACAGAAAAAAATGCACTTTTTAAAAATGTCACAGCCAACTATGATTACCATTTAAAAAAATGTAAGTTTGCGTTATAACTCGAAAATTATAAAAGAAGAATAAATATTAATAAATGTATCTTATTAAGCGGAAAAAAATCTACACTTTTTGTTCTTTGCATATTTCTGTATTTCTAATACTAACGATTCTACAACAGTTAAATGAAAAATCACTAAATCTGTTTTTCGCTCATATCTAGTAAACTGTGGATTTTTTCAAAAAACAAAAGCATATCTTGAATAAGCTCTTAAAACTACAACTCTTTCCTCA